ACTTCAAACATTATTGCTGGTGGGAATATAAAGTGGTACAGCCACTTTGGAAACCAGCTTGAAAGTTCCTCACAAAGTTAAACATAGTTACCATGTGACCCAGCAATCCCACTACGAGGTATAAACGCAAGATCAATGAAAACAGGCCACACGAAAGTATGTACATGACTATTCAAAACAGCATTATGAATAACAGCCAAACCGTCTATCAATTAATGAATAAACTGTGGTATAGCCCTACAGTGGAATATTATTTAGCAGTAGAAATGAATGAAGTACTGAGGTTATAACATGGATGAACCTTGAAAACAATATCCTAAGTACAAGCCAGTCACAAAAGACCACATACTGTGTGATCCCATTTATATAAACTCCATTTCTGTAAAGAGAGAAAGGAATTGCTCAAGTCTGGAGAAGGTGTCGAGAAGTGACAGCTAATACGTACCGAGTTTCTTTCAGGCAGGACAAAAATGTTCTGATGTTAAAGTGTGGTGATGGTTGTACAAACCCACGGATACATTATTTAAAAACTTTAAATGGGTTAATTGTATGGTATGTGAATTTATCTCAATCAACCTATTTTTTAAAATTCCTCTATACCAGCCTGGCTGGTGCGGCTCTGTAGATTGAGTTTGGTTTGCCAGACTACAAACCAAAGGGTTGAAGGTTCAATTCCCGGTCAGGGCACGTGCCTGGGCTGTGGGCTGGGACTCTGGTTGGGGCCATGCGAGAGGCAACCACACATCGATGCTTCTCTTCCCCTCTCTCTCCCTTCCCCTCTCTCTGAGAATAAATAAATAAATCTTTTAAAAAAATTCCTCTCTACCAGAATACCTCTAAGGTTCCTTTCTAAACATAACAGTCTCAGAGCATCCATAAACAGACTTCAGAACCCAATTTCCAGTTGACTCCCACGACCCTACAGTTTAGAGAAAGCATCAATAAGAACAGTAATTCCTCGTTTGAGGTCTACAGTCCTCCAGGTGTCCGCGAAGGAAGGGCAGGTGCTTCCTGAGCCAGCTCCCACTTTTCAGAACATCTGAGGGAAACCACACACTCCGCCTTCTCTGAGGTCAAGTTTTAAGTGTCTTTTCTTTGGCTGGTTTCATGTTAGTAGTTTTAAAATACTGATTCAAAGCTGATTGACAGCTTAATGTATGAGAAGTTAAAAAAAAACAGAAAAATAAACTATTAGCTAACACATACTTTCTGATAGGCAAAAATGTTTTTTAAAAAATGGGGTCCATGATGAGCTCCTTGGTTAAAAGGTTGGGAAATACAGATAAGTGCAGTTGCCTAGAAATTCCAGGCAGTATCTCAGGGTCTTCCTGAACATGACTCACTGCATCTCCCTGCGCCTCAGTTGCCATTTTCATCTACAGAAATCAACAAATGTAACAGTCTCCACCTAACTCTAAAACTCCAAGACTTTTCCATATTATATAATTACACCCTAAAAATGTCTGCTAAAAAGATAGTTGTTCACAAGGTGGGTGCTGGCAAAGAACTTTCTTCCCTGACTACTTAGCGCATCACGGTAATAAACAATACTAAATACTAATACTGATAAACAATAACAGGCTATGGTATTTAGAAACTCATTTATGAGTGGCCTTAAAAAGCAAAGACAGGAAAACATAATGAATTAAAAAGAGTGAAGTGTGCTTGCCTACTGCTGACAGCAAAAGTCAACAGGAAATGCTCCAGAATACAGTCTTGCCAAAGCATGGAACGTCTCTGATTAACAACCAGTGAGCTGTAGCTCTCCTTCCATTACTTTACTCCCAACGCACCAGCTTCCAAAGGCGTCCCTGAAACAAATGAACCGAAGGAGGGGAAGGGAGCAAAGGAAAAAAACTGCATCGTCACTGGTTTCCTCCCTTCAAAATTCCAGACGATGACCAGAGGGGAAAGGGGTGGGAACTACCAAGCTTAAAATTCTCCTATTTACAGTTTAATATGCTGTGGCCTTTTAAAAAACTTTTTTAAAAGTCATAAAAAATCTTCTATTACAAATTTCTTTATAATAAGAATTTAAAAAAAGCAATTTGCACCCTTTTGAGTGAATTCATACTAACTTAAAAATTGGGTATAATAATACTGTTTGGGGGGCCAGGGTTAGAAGGAGTGCCCTCCAGGGGGTTTGAGGGAGAAGGGTGGTAGAAGCCTCAGAAAAGGAAAAGTGGGTAAGATCCTTTACAACATAACACATATAAAAAACCCAGTTCAGAGATTTCTAATGAATTTTTAAAATGTCATTCCGCGAGCTAGAACAGACCGGAAAAGCCAGACCATCTCCCTCCTCAAGCAACAAATATCACGAATACCAAGAGTAGGCAATTTTCAACTTCCAATTCCATATTATCAATGGAAAAAAAGAAGGCAAATCAGAAACCTAAGCTCATTTTAGTAAGTGATATAGTGTTCTTCTCACAACTAACTATACAGGAGTGAAGGAATTCATTCTGTTCATTTAATACAGAAAAAAATGCATTGACTCCTTCAAAAGAATAAAGAATCCATTAATCCTTGGAGCATCAACAATCTCTGTATTTATAGATTATACATGAGTACAGACATACTCTACCCCTAATAGCACAGTACATCTTAAAGGGCCCACATGAATCAAAGCGTAACACGAGCTCAACAGACACCACTATGGCACCTACAAATAAGGCTCGAAAGTATCTCACTTAAAACCAAATACGGTGCAGTTAAATAGAACAATTGAACAATTCTGCCCGCCTAAATAAAGGGTACAAAGATACAAAAACAAGTAACTTTGACCCTGACTTCAAGGAATTCACACGAGGAGGAAAGTCAGAAACACAGGCAAAATCGAAATTCTCTGAGATCACAGAGAACAACAAACTCGCTGACCTAACGGTAACCAGAATCTGCCAGGTGACAAAGTGGGAGGGAGAGTCTCACGGGCAACAAGAACAGCACCGGCATGAGCGCAGAGAACACTGTTAGTCGGCCAGAGGTCCTGAGGGGCCAGGGTGGGGTGGGGGGGATTCGGGAGGAAGGATTTGTGGCATGAAATGGCAGTAATCAAGTCAGGAGAGGAAGCTTGAAGCTGGGTGGCAGAGGTGTTTGGTCTTTATCCGGAAAGTCAGAGAGAAACTGATATATAATAAGCAATGTTTTTCGAAAGCTAACTGGCGGCAATGCGAAGACAGGCTTAAAAGGAGGGTGGGAGGTTGGAAGGTCCGAGAACACAAGGGCAACAGTTAGGGTATAACTGCAATAATGCGAGTAAAATGTGATGGGTCAGCAGTAACACCAATAACTAAAACCAGCAGCGGGAGCAACCACCTACATGAATTTAACAGTGACTGTGTGTCCACACATTTGACCATAAGGTCCCTTACCAGGGCACAGGCAATGAAAGAAAAAAGTGAAAGAATGCAAGCAAGAAGTCATTATTAAGATAATCAACAGAACTTAATAATCATTGACCATACAAAACCCAAAAAATATCTTCATTTACACACTAATTTTGCCTTCCTACACTGCTTCTGAAAACCTTTTAGTTTCTTCATCTAAAGATTTCTACTAAAATAGATGTTAACATTTTAGTTCACTTACTAGATGTTAAAAACTTTAAATTTTAACCATATTAAGAGTTTCAGTTATCTGACAGGGATTATTTAAGACTAAAAATTTCCCTGTGGCCACAAGAAAAAGAAAAGAAACAAATACAGGATTAAAAAAAGAAAAAGAAAAAACAATGATCTTGGTACATCCAGAACTGGATGAGACTAAATTTATATGCCTTAGTTAGAAACCCTGAGCTCTGGCTAGTGTGGCTCAGTGGGTTCAGCGCCGACCTGTGAACCAAAAGGTTTCCAGTTCGATTCCCAGTCAGGGCACATGCCTGGGTTTCCAGCCAGGTCCTCAGGTGAGGAGTATGCGAGAGGTAATCAATCCATGTTTCTCTCCCTCTCTTCCTCCCTTCCTTCTCCTCTCTTTAAAAAAATAAACAAATAAAATCTCAAGAGGGGAAAAAAGAAAGAAACCCTGTAAATACAGGTATACAGTAGAAATACTCATAAATAAATTAAATATTGGGGGGAGAGGAACTCTTTAAATTAAAATCTTTGGGCTACAAACAATTCAACTGTCCAAATACATATAACTTTATTACGACAACATATAGTTAATATCTTTCATAAAGCCAGAATGAAGTTGTACACCACAGGAGACAAAAAAGAAACTGAGAGGCTTACAGACCCAATTCCAATTTGATAAACATATTACTAAAGAAAATAAGAATTTCAGCCACTCAGCTTCAACATGCAATCATCTTCTATCCTTTACCAAAGTATGTTTGTGAAACTGTCCATTTGTAGTATAGGACTGTGAAATAAAACAGTCGAGTTTCTTTCAATAAAACAAGTGATGCTTCCCTCTATACAGAAATAAATACACTGATTTTCACAATGCTGCCATAATGTTGTATCCACTAAATTCAAAGTTACCTTATTTTAAATACAGGTAACCTTAATGATAAAATACGACAAACACATTTCCCACTAAATTTAGTGTTCAAAAACAAAGTCACATTTGCTATGTTCTAAGAAATAACACTGGTATCTAATCATCTGAGGTTGACTGGCTCACCCCCAGATATTAACCATTAACCAGAGGTGTTGGTTTAAAAATCTGCATGAAATCGTTAAGGTCAATAAATGTCACAGTTCAGTAGAAAGATTATTTAAATAAGAATTTCTGCTTCAATGATTCTATTTTGACAGATAAACTTATAAGACCCTTGTTTTTACATAATAGTGTGCGTACGTATGAGGTCCCTCTGTTAAAAGAAACAAGTTTGTATTGTGTTAGTTCCAGTTCTAACTCCTAACTAAGTCAAAGCTCTGACAGCCTTAAAGCAGGAAATCCCAAAGGAAATTCCATCATCAGTTCCTGGGGCTTGGTAACCAAAAGGTTCTTTGAAACAGATATAGATGTTCTCAGACAACTCACTATAACCTTACCTCATATCTTCGAGCAAATCACATTCTGCTTGATGTTTGGCTTGAAGTTTTGTCATCTGCTCAACTTGAATGTTTTTCAGTTCTTGTGTAACTTTCACCTAAAATATACCATATACTTATGAAGGCCTTAATGCAACTTTAACAACAACAAAAACAACACTACTTAATGGAAATACTAAATACTTATCAGAATATGTACCTCTTGCTCACTGCCCCCAAGACCAGAAATTCATTATTAGCCACCTAATTTTGTCCCTTGAAGATACTGTATTTAATGAAAAAAACTAGCCAAATAACCTGAAACAGAGGTTAAATATAAGTACACAAACATAAAAACTAGATTAAAGAGGTGCAAAATAAATTGCCAATCATCCCATTTCATGCACAAGGCTCAGTACATATCTAGGTCTCCTTAAAGTTTTGAAAGAGTCTGTCTTCTATTTTTTCCAAAAAGGATTCAAAGACATTAACCACTAGGAGAGGTGAGCAGGGAGCATAAGAATGCCTAATCTCTAATAACCGAAATATACACTATAATAAAATTATATGCTTAGCCGACTACACAAATTATTCCATAATGGCTGCGAGAAAACACACTATCTCAGGATGATGCCCTCTACTCGCTGACAGCGCATCAAATCACAGATCTTTCTCATACAGGAGAAAGCAAAAGTGACCTTCTAGCATATGCAGTGCTTTTAAGCCATCCTAGCAAGCCGGTTCCTGTGGCGGCTCCACTTCAAACGGCTAGAACAGCAAATGCAAGCTGGCCAGTGACTCGCCCGCGAGGCCAGCACCCCAGGGTTCCAGGTCCAGTGGGCCTGGGATCCCCTCCGCCTCAGCGTGGCTATCCGGAGGGGTGTGGATACGTGTGTGAAAGAAAAAAATACTCATAATTGGAGAAACCCAGATTAAAAAAGAAAAGGAAGCAGACACGAGTGAGGCTTTCGGCAAATGTTTGCCCACGACGGGAGGACAGAAACCACCTCCTCCACTCAGCGCCCAGAAGAGACACTCAGTAACCATCCACAGGATTAAAAAGATAAGGACACAGCCTCAGCCCCTGGAAAAGCTGGAGAAGAGGACAGTGAAGCAGTTCTCGAAGAGATGCAGCCGGGAGCTGCTGACAAGCCCAGAGCACCCGTCACTCCCACCCCAAGCCCAGATCGCGATGCACACGCCACGCACTGCCGGGTTCTCACTCTCCCTGGGGCAGTACCGCCGCCTCCTCGTCCCGGAGGAACTGGACAAGGAGGGGGTTGAAAAAGGCAATGCTTAATTTCTTGTTTTCCCCTAGGACGGGGCGGGAAGGGGTGGTGGTGACTATTCCAACTTCTTTTCGGCTCGCCCCGTGGGAAAAGCAGGCCAAATCTTAAGGCTAAGCTGGAAACAAATTCCCTGCAAATGTGCAAGCGGGCGAGGGTGGCGACAAGGGGCTGGAGGGCTCAAACCCGGTGCAGACTAAACAATCACACAAGCACAAGGCTCCGCAAAGCTGCAGGGGCTCCCCCGCCTCCCCTCGTTGCAGCCCCGAGAATGCACTTTGCAGCTAGCAGCACTGCCATGCGCGCGCGCGCACACACGAGCACCCGAAACTCTTGTGAAATGTCGAGGGTCTCCCGCGCGGTTTGGGGGACAAACCCCGGCCGCCCCTTCGTCGGAAAGGCACCTCACACGCCTGGAACCGGCAGCGACTCGGTGACAAGCCAGAGGCTGCAGCGGTCACGGACCGTTGCAGAAAGGGGGAGGGGGCGCAGCGGTCGCCCAAGCCGCGTTCCTTGGACGCATCCCCCCAAAGCCTCCCTCTGCACCCTTACCTTCCTCGGCGGCGGCTGCATGATGCTGAAGGGACATCAATCCTCCCCCGACGGCGGCGTTAGATAGGACAAGAGAAAAGAGAAGGGCCGAGAAGAGGGACTGGCCCAGCGAGAAAGAGAGAGAGAGAGAGAGAGTGTGTGTGTGTGTGTGTGAGAGAGAGAGAGAGAGAGAGAGAGAGAGAGAGAGAAAGGAGAGCTTGAGAACCAGGACCTGCCCCGGAGTGAGCAAGGCCAGCGGGCTGCAGGGGAACCCGAGTCGCGGGCGAGAGTGAAGAGAAGGAGGAGCACGGAGAAGGCCTGGGGCTCTAGCGGCCCGGGAGGTGTGTGAGCGAAGGAGGCGGAGACCGCGAGGGGGCGGGGGCCCAGGAGCTGGGGCGCAGGGTCTCCCAGCTCGCCGAACCGCTCTCGAGGAGCAGCAGCCTCGCCCGGCTCCCCGCCCTCCGCCGGCTCCGGGGCTCCTCGCAGACGAGGTCCCCCTCCGCCCCAACTCCGGCAGCCCGGCCCTCGCTGGGCCCGACGCCCCCGCCCGGCGCGGGGAGGTGGAAGGCGGCGCCGCGCTCTCGGCTCAGGCTCCTCCACTCAGGCCGCGGGAATTTCCGGCCCCACCGCGCGGCGCAGCGCCCCACTCCGGCGGCAGAGGGGACAGCTCAGGCCGCAGCTCGGTTCCCGGAGCCGGGCCGGGCTGCGGGGAGGGAGAGTGGACGCAGCTCGGGGCTCCGTATCGTGGCGGAGACAGGGGAAACTAACGGATCGGTGGGCGAATAGGAGGGGCAGAAACGCTAGCATCACACGAAAATTCCCCCATCCTATCCCACAGTGGCACGTTCCAAACGCCTCCAGTCCACCCTCCCCCACACTGGGAGCCAGCCGGGGGCTTCCCGCGCGCTTTCCCGCCCGCCCGCCACGGCGCGCGCCTCCGAGCGGGGGCGCGCTCGTGGGCGGGGGAGGGCTCTGCGCCGACGCAAGCGCACGAGACTCCCCTTCCCCCTGGCTTTTGCAGCTGCAGTGTTAGGGATGGGGCGACGTGGACGCCTGCAGTGAAGTTTTTGCAATGAGGAAGGGGCAATATTCCTGTGCAAGTGGGAGAGTTCAGTGTTTTGCCTCTTCTCGGTCCTCCAACACCCCCTCTTCAGAGCGAATGGCCCGGGTAGGTAGGCAGGAAGGGAACGAGCACGAACAAGTCCTTCCGCAGACGGCCGCAGGTGCCTTGTTACGGGGGTGGGGAGTCTAGTTGGCATGTAAAAAGAAAAACGGCTCTGTGCTACAGGGCATTCAAGTCAGAGAGTGTGGACTCTGTGCGAGAAGGAAACAGCGGGGTTGAGGTCAGGGCCCCTATTTCACAGATGGGGAGACTATGGCCCATAGAGGACTGAAGACTTTCTGAGGGTCAAACAGAAGGACTAGAATCTCTGGGTCACAAAGGGTTCTTTGGGTTATAAAGAAACACACGCAGATGATAACCATAAGGAAAAGTAGAGGAGGCTGCAGGGACAAAGAAAACCCTTATCTGGGAGTCAAGACCTCTGGTGCTAGACTACCTGCCTGCCTCTAACTGGCTAGGTGAGGTCAGGCTTCCTCTTGTGTCAATGAGGATGCTCATCCAGGCACTCTGTTCCCTCCCTCTGCTCCCCTCACCCCCCACCGCGCCTGAATACACACAACCTTCCTTCTCCATCCAGACCATCTGAGGGTACGGAGTATCAGCTTTCCTTGTGGTCCTTAGAGGAATGAAAATATCGCTTCTGCAGCCACAGTCTATGTGGAGAGAGAACTGGATTGCTCCATAGTTTTATCAAAAGTTGGCATTCCAGACACCTATTCTCAGAATTGTGTAGGCAGGCAGAACAGGGAAGTGAGTGAGGCCTGATGAGACCCAAGTAATTTGCTGAAAGCTACAGGGCCAGGAATTGGGAAGATGGAACCTGAGCCTTGGTTGTTTACATTGAGTTAGCCTAGATTCTTGTGGCAGAAGGTGATACAATCGGTTATGCTTGAGTCATATTTAATCTAGAGCTGTGTACAGACTGGGAGTCCAAGCTTGACATTTCTAGTTTTCTTGAGGCCATTTAAAAGTCAGCACTCACCAGAGTCCGCAGTTACTATCGGGGAAGGCCTGGGGCAAGGGAAGGGAATAAATATGTGGGTGGAGACTAGCTTCCTGCAGCTGTGGGTCAACAGCTAAAGCCTAGGACCAGGACGAAAGTAGCCAGACTGGGGTCCAGTCTCAGCTCCACCACTAATTCATTGTGAGGCCTTGAGCTAGTCAGTTCCCCTCTTCTAGCCTTTATGTTCTCATTCATAAAATAGGGATATAATACCAGCCTTACTGGCTTGTCGACTAAATAGAATTTCTCCTACCATAGAACCTGGCACATAGTGCTCAACAAGTGCTCACTGATTCATCACTCATTCAAAAAATATTTGCTAAGGTCCTGCTTTGTGCCAAGCCTTGTACTAGACCCTGGGGATGCAGGAGTAAGCAAGACAGTATCAGCCTAGGCCTTCAGCCAAGGCTGAGTTCCAGACCAACCATTTCATGAATGACACTGAGCTAGTTGGAGGGGGTGGGGGGAGGGACATTAACAGTGCTTGCCCAGTTGTAGTGTCCCACACAGAGAAGGTGCTTAGCAAAGATTTGCTGAATCCTAGTCCAGGATATATCTGGTCTTGCCCAGAGACTATCCTCCCTCCCTTCGCCCCCCTCCTCTGGGAATAAGCACTGGGAATATAAAGGTGCTGAATGGGAAACTTGGGGTCCACCCTCTACCACTGACCTCCAGGGCCTTCTCTGAAACTTGGTCCCAACTACAGAATAAGGTAAGTGAATGAGCCTGGGACTTAGTAAGGTCTTCACAGATTAAGTCAACCCCTGGGGCTTCACTTTATGAATTTAGGAGAGCCACCCAATTTGCCATTATTCTGAAACCAGAACTGGCATTGACTTTCTAGAATGATTTCCTCTGGAGATGTTATAAAAAGGCAAGGGACAACCCCATATGGGCTTACCTACTAACTGCTTTTTCAAAAATAAGAGTTAAAAAATATGTTTGATACTTACCAAGTGCCTTTTCCAAACCCCAAACTTTTATGTTAATTTTTCAAGTTAATCTTTACTATAATACTATAAAATAGTATTATTTCTTTGCTTTATGCATGGGGAACTGCACACCGTGAAAATAAGTGACCTTCCCTGAGTTGATGGATTTAGGACCAGAACTCAGTTCTCCCCTTTGCCTCTGTGAGAAACATTCAAAGGAATTAGGAGAGCTCACCCAGGAAAAAAGCAGACTTGGGAGAATAAAATCCGGACGTTCTAAACTCACAGGGATGAAGAAAGGGGTTTCTGTGATTTGTGCAAGCCTGATTTAAAGTATACCCCCTGAAACCAGGCTAGCCACCTCCAGAGCCTTTGCCTCTGCAACTGGGCAAGCACCGTGTTACCAGTGAGGTCTCTTAAAATTCTCTGGGATAGGTGTCACAGAGTAGCAATGCACTGTGGCCCCAGAGGCAGAACTGGGACAGCTCTCAGTTGCATCTAGAGAAGGAGGTTTTCCAGGCAGAGCTGCCCCTAGAGGGGATGAGCACCCTGATCCCTTGGGCTGTGCAAGCAGGAGCTGCCTCCCTTCCTTAAGGAGGCCGCAGATGGGATTCTCACCCTGGGAAGAAATTAATTACAGCCAGCATTTATGTTGCCTCTTCCACATTCTGGGCATTGAACTTGGGCATGTCATTTACATTGTTTCTAACCGTGACAACAACCCCTCATAATATATATACAGGATCCCATTTCACAGATTTCACAGACCGAGAGGCAAAAATGAAATGATCTGCCCAAGGTTACATAATGGACAGAAAAGCCAGGGCTGGCTCCAGGTTCCCTGTGGCTCTGAAACTGTGCTCTCCCTCCAGCGTGTACGCTGCTGCGCAGTCTCCCAGAAGGAATATGATTCTAAGTTTGTCATAGGATTGAAAGCTGGCCTGGAGCCGGTATATGAGTGGGCATTGGAAGATAAGCTACTCCAGTATTCCACGGGCTCCCACGAAAAACCAGCGTGCAGCAGCCCCTGCACATGGCTAGCACACAAACAGCAGCCAACCCCAGTGCAGAGTGGGCACCCAGGACAAGCACTTCATCCAAAACTTCCAGAGAAGGTGGCCGTCATCCCATCTACCCATATTGCACCAAAGCACGAACCCTCCCCTTCCTGCAGCTGGGGTTCATAGCCTACTTCCTTTCCCTCTGTCACTATCCCCTGTTCACATTGGCACAGAAACCAGCTATTCCCTACCTGTGCCCCATGGAGCCTAGCTGGGGATGCTGCTGCAGACTGCAGTCTGTGGACCCCATTCCTGTTCACCTCCCATCTACCCTAGTACCTTTCCCCCTCCACTTGGCACCCCCCACACACATATTATGGGCCTTTGCTCCTGCCTGAGCTCGTCCCCTCAACGTGGTCAGTCTGGTGTGGGAACGTGCCTGTGTCCTCCCCTGGACAGCTCGCCAACAGAGAGTCACAGCCCACTGGAATGAGGCTTCAGGATCAGACGAGGGCAGGGCTCTCCCGAGGGCAGAAGGTGAGTCTGTAGCAGAACTAGAGTTTGGATTCTGTCCAACATCATTCAACAAGCCCCTTATTCTGGGTTCAGTCATAAGCTGGAGCTCCCAATCTCAACACATAGACCAAAGGTCACAGCAATGAGTCAAGGGCACTCAGAGCCAGGAGAATCATTGGAACCCCAATTCCACCAGGTTGATAGCAGGAGTCTAGGCCAGAGGTAAGTCCTGGGGAGTGTTACAACTTGGGGTGGCGACTAGAGAACAGCCAGTCCCAGGAGGTGGCAGGCACATGGTTTTGACATGAGGAGGCAGGAAACCAAGGTCACAGTCCTGTTTTTGCCAGGTACTTGCCGAGTGTGACCTTTGGCACATCACAAATTCTGTCCTTCCTCCTGGGCAGGAGAGGGGTATGTGCAAGATCAGCTAAATAAAAGGTACATGACCTATAAAGTGCGAAGGAGCTGTGTGAGCAAGTGACAGCCCGTGTATCAGACAAGGCTGAGTGACTGGCTGCCCGTGTAGGAGGCCGACGAGGGCCTTCCCACTGGGAGCCGCACCGGACTGCAACACT